TAATACCCATTAATGTCAAATAAAGAGCTTCTAACTTAGCGGTATCCGGTGTTACCCTCCCTCATTGAGGTTGATGGTTCAAGTCCTGTCCTGGACATATGTAAAATTAAGGAATAGTTTAAGTAGGAGTAGATTAGATTTGCCGTTTCAAAAAAATCAATGTTAATAAAATATACTACCCATTAAAAAATCAAAATTAGAACCAATATATAAAAGGAAATGAGATCATTTGGTTAGTTTGGAAAGTTCTGAACTTCCTCGCCTTTAAAAACAAGAGATGTAATATTTTAAGAGAAATTAAATGTTCTTTTTACTTTTTGTGTCCAGTATCTTACTACATATTTTAGATGGTGACAAGTGTTATTTAATTTAATTTAAATTTGATTAAGATGTTAAATTTATATACTTGTCATCATATTAAATAAGTAAGAATAAAAATAAAAACAAAATATAGGAGAATATTTAATTTTTCATATTCTAAAGACAACCACCTTCATCAATTTGTCTTACAAATGGATTAAGAATAAAGGTAAATTTAGTTTCTTAAATTGGAATATTAGGTGTTTTTCTTCTATTTATGTTTGTATTTTCTAACGATTTGCTAATATTTTGATGGTTTTTAATAAATATCTATTGTTCAGATAAAATATATTCTACCGATTTTTTTCTAATATCAAGATTTATTTCACTAACCATAATGATTAACGTTTTAACAAAACAAAACTAAATCCGTATTTTTTATTATGGTTATCAACAAAACTCTTAGATAAATATATAATTAGATTAGTTAATTTAAAGAAAAAAAACACTTGTAAAAGATTTTGGGAATTTTTTTTGTTAAATTTTGACTATTAATGATACCCATGTGAATATTTCAACAACTCCAATTTTAAATTATACATCCATTATTTTTCAATGAAACTTATACTGATTTTTCTTTTTCAACTTGAACTATAAATACTCAAATACTATTATAAATTTAAATATAATAGTTATAATTTACTTTTTTTGGAAACGGCAGGTTATAAAATATAAACTAATAACATTTAAAAAAATGGTTTTAACGTGATGAACAATGCCCTACATAAAAAGAAAACGATTATGATTATTCATTAATACAAAAATAATGTGGGTTTTAATATTCAGTTAGATTAGATTTTAGTATCGTTCCAATATTTTAGTTTTCGGTTGAAGTTGGTCTAATGCATTAAGGGGATAGGATTAGCAATAAGGACATATTTATGGGGTCGCAAGCCGACCGTTGGAAGTCCCTCCAACCTTCATATTTATTAAATCCATTGATTTACACCCCTCATAAATAACACTCCCACTCTTACAAAAAAACGCGTGTTATTCACTCTCCCCATGACATTGAAGTATTGAACTATTGAAGATTACATACTTTCTTGAATTAGATCCAAGAGTTAAATTACTTGATAAGTTCAATTTGTAAAATCTCATTTCAATTAAATCAATAAAAATAAAAACTGATTGATTAATATGTCATTGTCGTGTATTATTTAAAGAATATCAAATAGATTTGATTGTCATATCATCTCTTTCCTAATTTCCAAGATATTTACCAAATTAAATAAATCATTAATCACAATTTTTATTTGTCGCAAAATAAATAAAAGATAATACTTAATAAAATAATATTTTTAATTTTTAATTATAAATCTAAAAAAAATCTAATTAATAGAATAATATACTAATTTTGTGGACGAAAATTAATGCTACATTATTCATTTATCTCTAAATAAATACATATTAAACCGACAATTTAACAAAATTTATAATAATTAGTTTAAAATCTATAAGATATCTCCATTAATATAATAAACAAAATAAATATAAAAAAACTCAACACTACTAATATAATACACTAATTAAAAGGTTATTAAATCAACTAAATATCAATACAAGCATGTATATTTACATTTATCCTACACAATTTGTTCCCACAATGTGAATCCAACATTTGCGGTGTAAAATTTCATATAGAAACTCCAAAGTTTAAACTTTGACACGTCAAAAAATATCACTATTGCTCTGCAATTGATTTCATATGTGAGTCTTAAAACGTGTTAACATGGGTCGATAGGATGACAAGATTTATCATTTTTTTATCCTACATACTTATATACAATGTTTTAAAACCCGATTTTTAGTTAAACCGGCCAAGTGACCTATACCCGGTTAGACTGATTCAACCGTCGATTTTCATATTTTTTTTATGTATCTTATATTTTCCTACACATACACACCCACACACACGCGCGCGCACACACACACACACACACACACATATATATATATATATATATATATATATATATATATATATATATATATATATAATTTTTTTTATATCTGGCAATGGTGTGTATCGGCCTTTGAGTTGTGTACACTCCAGTTAACATGATTGATCAAGCTTTTCAATTTGCTTTAAAATTGACTGTTTTTACTGGTTAAGTGAAATTCAGCTATCCAAGTACAATAAACTAGTTCAAAAGGTTCGTTTTACCGATCCTATCAAACTAGTTCAACCAGATTTTTTTTTGAAGAAAAATTGTTTGATTTTATTTTGTCTAGAAATTGACATAAAACTGGTTGCTGTTGTGTAACATCCTAAAAATAATAAGTAAAAATTTTGTTTTTAAACACCCAGATCTCATAAACATTTGTTCAAAAACCAATCATAGTAAAATGTATGTCTCAAACATCAAAGTAAAATCGTAAAAATCAATGCGAAAAAAGCATTCAGGGGATGCAGTGCGATCAAACCGGACCTTTCCCTTTGGAACTGGAAGTACCCGAAAACATTTAAAACATAAGCTGTAAGCACAAAGCTTAGTGAGTTCTCCAAAATACCATATATCATACATACATTCGTCATGGGCTACCCCCATGGACCTTCCCTTAAATGCCATGAGCTACCCCTATGATCTTTTCCTGAAATATCATGAGCTACCCCTATGGTCTTACATCCAAGTGTCACGGGCTACCCTCATGGTCTTTTTTTTTTGGAAAGGGAACTTCCCTAACGAGGGTTTCCGGGCCAGCTTTCGCGCACCGACTAATCCCCCGCTGCAAACATGAGGCTTTGCCTCATGCCCTGGAGTCACTGCAGGCGAACCTCCATGGCCACACGGGCTGAGTAGTGCCAGGATTTGAACATGGGTCAATAGGTTATCCACCATATCTTCCACATGTCTTCCCCAGAAATGTCATGGGCTACTTCCATGGTCTTACATCCAAGTGTCATGGGTTACCCCATGGTCTTTACTTGAAATACCATAGACTATCCACATGGTCTTATATCCAAGTCCCAAGGGCTACCTACATGGTCTTTCATATAGTTGTCATGGACTACCCTCATGATCTTCCATGTAAGTAGCATATAACATCCTACATAGTATATTATGAAGATTTTATCTCTCTCACGAAGTAAGATAAAACCACAACTCAATGCCACGAAACAGATGCTACAACCCAATATCAAATCACACAAGTCCACTCTTTAGTCTACCCTTTAGAACTAGCAATATTACCAAATGTCAACAAGGTTAAAAAGTCAATGGTCAAGGTCAAAGTAAACAATCAAAATCATCATCAGTTGGCTTCCACATTGTGGCCAGTCCATGGCCACGTCGTGGCTAACGAACCCAACCCCGATCCAAAACTTCAATTACGAACAAATCAGTCGCGAATAATCTGATATACATGTCATAGCAGACATGTCACCATGCCATGGCTCACTCCAAACAAAACAGTTGTGGAGCCTTGATCCACCACGTTGTGGCACCTAGGTGGCCACGTCGTGGGTAGTGACTGAAGACAACTTATTTGCATAAGCTCTTCATCCGTTAAGCCCTTAGCTTAAACTTTCCAAAAGGCTTCTAGTGACCCTAGTGGTTCATAAAAAATGTCAACTTTATGGACATGCATGACTTATGCATGTCCTTCACTCAACTAGGTCATAATGAAGAGAAATGACCTAAAATCCCAAGCAAGATCCACAAATCTCAACCAAATCCTAGTTCTGAAAGATATAAGGCTCAAGGTACCTAGGTGAGCCATAAAGTTGCAAACTTTATCTCATTAGACCAATCAAAACTCATCAAAGGACACAAACATGCAAAACAACCCTAGATATACTAAGAAGGAACCAAAAAGATTCGATCTTGAAACCTTAAAAAGGGTCCAGAAGGTGATCTCAAAGATGGAAAGATGTTGCTTGCTTGATTCTTGCACCAAATTCCATTCTTCTTCCTTCAAAGAGTACCAATACACCAAGGATAAGCTCAAATATGGAGAGAAGGAAACCCTAACCATCACTTCCTTTAAAGGCTCTTGGATTAGGGTTTCTTCAAGGCTCTTGGAGGTGATGGAGACTGAGGGTTCGACAACCCTAACCATCACTTCCTTTAAATATGGCTTTAAGACCAAAACTTAAGGTTTGCTAAAAGACAATCGTCATGTCATGGCAAATATATTGCCACATCGTGGCGGCCAATTGAGATGCGCAATTTATTCGGCCATGCCACATCGTGGTGATACCTCCACCACGTCGTGGCCAACACAAAAACTCATAAATTACTTTAATTTCATACCTCAAAGATCCGGATGTCACATGTTAAACCGTTTTTGTCCCCGATTTATGGTCCGACCAGTTTTTAAAACATTGCTTATACATACGAATGATGAATGATAATGAGAAGTTTTTTATTTTTATTATACAATAATCTTTTTTCTTATTAAGAGATGATTAGTTTTTAAAAGGTAAGATAGAAAAAGTAAAAAGATAAGTAAGGCAATAATTTTTGCTTAAAGTTTAAGTTCAAACCGTGTTTGGCGCGTATAGCCAAAGCATCGGTTAATTGAATGAATTCTCATTATTAAACTTTCCCCAAATATTTCAAAAACAAAAACCACAGAAGACCGTTCCTCGTCTTTCGTGTCCTCTTTTTAACTTTTTTTTTTTTTTTTACTTTGCACTACCTTCCAATCCTACCCAACACCTCTTCTCTCTCTTCTCTCCCTTTCTCTCCCGTTCTCACAGGTAACACCAACAACGACTTCTGTGGAGAATCATCCTCTTCTTCTCTCATTCTCTCTCTTTCTCTATCGATTACCCTTTACCCAATACACAATGAAAGGATAATTGTGGTGGTTTAGTGTAGGTAAGGTATAGGTGTATCCGATAATGGTGGCTGGGAAGGTCAAATTAGCAATGGGTCTGCAAAAATCACCGGCGAATTCCAAAACGGAAGTACAACAGTATCCACAACAAAGGCAGCATCCGTCTCCGTCGCCTAGTTCCGGTGGAGGTGGGAAGGTGCCGCAGAAAGGGGCGGTGTTTTCACGGTCATTTGGGGTTTATTTCCCACGGTCCTCTGCTCAGGTTCAGCCGCGGCCGCCGGACGTGGCGGAGTTGTTGCATTTGGTGGAGGAGTTGAGGGAACGGGAGTCGCGGTTAAGGACGGAACTGTTGGAGCAAAAGTTACTGAAGGAGTCGGTTGCTATACTTCCGATTTTGGAGAATGAGATCTCGAGAAAGGATTCGGAAATCAGTCGATCCTCGAAGAAGATCGAGTGTCTTGAAGCGGAGAATGAGAGACTGAGGCAAGATGTTGAAATGCTGCATTTAAAGCTTACTGAACAAAAACAGGAGTTCGAGCAGAGAGTGAAGGATTTGGAGGTGGCTTCGGTTACGTCTTCTTCGCATAGGTTTCAGCAGTTAATGGATATTTCAGGGAAGTCTAGTATGATCAAGAGCTTAAAACGAGGCCAAACGTTTGCGAATATTCCGGCGAATCGGAATCATAACGAAATCGACAGCAAATGTTATACAGAATCGAGCTCAAAGGAGTCAATATTAGTAGAAATCGACAATTTGCCTAGGCTTTCTAGGTGTGATTCGTTAGACATGGCAACAGATTCCGTTATTGAAGTCCGTTCACGAGTTCCTAGGGTTCCAAAACCCCCTCCACGGCCGTCTACATCATCGTGTTCATCGTCTTCTTCTAATAGCTCACTGAGCAGCTCCGCAGAGAGGGCTTTAACAGAGCAACAACCTCCGGTCCCACCTCCTCCACCACCAGTAACAAAGCTAGCCCCTCCGCCACCACCACCGCCTCCAAGAACCACCAAAGCTCCTGCTCCTCCCCCTCCACCACCTCCGCCCAAGGGTATAAAGCCTTTGCCGGCGAAGGTCAGAAGAATACCGGAAGTAGTCGAGTTCTACCACTCTCTCATGCGGAGAGAGTCCCGCCGGGACTCCTGCAACGGATCTTCGTCCGCCGACGTCCCGTCCACCGCCAATACACGTGACATGATCGGAGAAATCGAGAACCGGTCAACGCACTTGCTTGCTGTAAGTAGCCATAGTAGTAGTAGAGTATTGTCAATTACTATTCTGCCCCTGGACCATCCCCCATCAAACTTTTCCCCCACATTAAATAGATTGCTTCCAAAGACAAGACTATTCATAGATTCGTATCTAATGAGGGATAACCCAAAGGGTAATTTCGACATTTGCATATTATGAAACTCATTCTGGCTTCTGGGTCCTCTAGGGTTCTAGTTCTTTTGGAATATGGGCATCATTTAATTCAAGATAAAATAAATTTAATTGTAAAATCCAGCTATAGCTACTTGTACTATGTGCTCTGAGAATAGTACATTCCAACTATAACTCAAAAGGGCCAAACTTCGTTTAAATTTAAGACAATGTCAGTAGTCCGAGTCCAATACAAAAAGAAGTACAATTCTTTTATATTAAATGCACAAAAAAAATATAAATATAGAACAAGAATATTTATAATAATAAGTAATTATATTTTCTGATTCATTTTCAGATAAAGACAGATGTGGAAACACAAGGTGATTTTATAAAGTTTTTGATCAAAGAAGTTGAGAATGCTTCGTTTACAGATATTGAGGATGTTGTGCCCTTTGTTAAATGGCTTGATGATGAACTCTCTTACTTGGTAAAGTTACACTTCTTTCTTTATTTTTTTTATGCTTATTCATTTCGTATAATTCTTATTCGTTGTTACCAAATTTAAATAAGGAATAAATGCAAGAAATAACAATTTATTTATTTATTTTTTTCTATTATAGCATCTTACTTCCATTTTCTTTTTTAATCTTATTAAGACATTGTATTCTAAATAATGTACTCAGTTATATTATTGTACTTTCATTTTTTAGAAAAAATAATTTTATTTAATTACAATACTGAAAATTGCTTTGTATTTGAATGAAATCAATATAATTTGGGTACGACTTTTTATCTTTTTCAAGTACAATATCATAAAAGAAAAAATAATGAACATCTGATGTTAATATTTTTTTTTTTGAAAAAATTAAGGTTGACGAGAGGGCAGTTCTTAAGCACTTTGAATGGCCAGAACGTAAGGCTGATGCATTAAGAGAAGCTGCATTTGGTTATTGTGATCTAAAGAAGCTTGAATCTGAAGCATCATCATTTCGTGATGATCCACGTCAGCCTTGTGCTCCTGCTCTCAAGAAAATGCAAGGATTATTTGAAAAGTATAAATCCTTTTTTTTTTCTTTCTTAAATAGTTATATTATTGGATTTTTATACGTTTTCTATAATGGTAATTTGTTTGGTGCCTATAACACAGATTAGAGCATGGAGTGTATAATTTATCAAGAATGCGAGAATCCGCTTCCACACGTTACAAAGTATTTCAAATCCCCATGGGTTGGATGGAAGAAACAGGATTTGCAACTCAGGTTATTTTTACTTTTACTGTTTATTTTTGTACACGTGTCTTTTTTATTTATTTATTTTTTAATGTATGTCTAAGAAAAGGAAATGTGTGCCTATGGGCTCAGTCTAGAAAATCAGGGATTAGACTATTAAAAGAATCAAAATAATTTGATTTTGGCTACAAGATGCCAAAAGGGTCTTAAAGATTTTGCACACTTTACAAAGTGTGGCCTACGCCCCTACGTGCATGCTCACATGGAAAGTGAAACCCTACTCTACACAAAACCCCATTTGCCTTGATTCTTCATCATCTTTTTAGGTATTTGTGAGTGTGAAATCAATCAATTCTCCCTTTAGACACCTAAAAGGCTAAAACACCAAATTCCAAATCAATGTTTGCTTCGTCGCTTGTACATCGCGCATCAAAACTTGACCCAAGATTTTCAATGTTCCACAGCCTTTTGCCACCCACATTTGGTACACGGATTCTAGGGTTAAGAGTATTATCCGGACATGTACGTTGTGCAAGAACATTTGTACGTAGCTTCAAGATTTTGGTTTTTTGCCCAATAAAAGGGCCTACCCTATAGTTGTGTGTTTTCATGCTGTTGGAGTCGTTCAGTCTTTTGTTTGAATGGGATTACATTTATTCACCTGTATCAGACAGCTAACCCCACCACCGATAGGCATTTAACATGAGAAAAGATAGTGTCAGAGGGCAAGGGCAAACTTGTCTTTTTATAATTTGGAAAATATTCAAAAAGTTGGGAGGAGAAATAACAATTATGTATTTGCATTAATTGTAGATTAAGCTTGCATCAGTGAAATTAGCACTGAAGTACATGAGAAGAGTATCTGCAGAACTTGAAATAGTTGGTGGGCCCGAAGAAGAAGAGTTGATAGTTCAAGGTGTACGATTTGCATTTCGTGTACATCAGGTAAAAACTCAATTGTCCTTTTTTCCTTGATTATACCTCAACTTGATTATAACTCATCTGTGATATGACAAGACAGATCCGGTTATACTGTATTTGATGTGCATTGGACAGAGACAGAGACCGATAGTTCCACCTTTTTGGATGAGACAAAAAGTTGTTATTTTCGTCTAATGACATAAGTCCCTGGCCGTCCAAGGCATGCCAAACACAGTCCAATGCATGTCAAACACAGTGCAGCCGGTTTCTATTCTGTTATGTCCTGTTGATTGGGAGTTGGGAATTAGTGATTTATGGTGTGGTATTTATTGACAGTTTGCTGGGGGGTTTGATGTGGAAACGATGCGGGCGTTTCAAGAGCTTCGTGATAAAGCAAGATGGTGCCATGAACAGTGTCAAAACCAGCAACAGCAGCAGCAGAAAACGTTGTGTAGGTCGACTGCGTGCTAAACATTCTTTATCTGTAGCAAACTCAGCTTCAGCATTTGTTACCGGGCTTTTTTTGCTGTAAAGATGGGACTCGTTTCGTGTGAATACGATGACCTTGCTTGTATTTTTATTTATTATTGTTATTATTATTATTCAAGTTTCAATATCATAATTAAAAGTTAAATGCCATGTTAGAGATTAGCAATGGTTTGTTTGATTTGTGTTTTATTCTTCATTTTGTAAAGAAAAAGATTTTTTTTTTCTTCATTAGGTTGGGGGTTTTAATGGAATGCTTATCACTTAATACATAGGTGTCGTCTTAATGGGTTAAGTGAAGGGTGGGAGCCCTTATGAATTCCGACGAGTTTTTTTACACATAATATAATTTTGTACCTCATTTATTTTTTATGTTTCTCGCCATTCTCCCTCAAAATTAGACGTTGGGTGTTATTCACCTGTCGAGCTTCATTCTTCATTTGTGTCTAGAAACCACTGAGCTAGGGTTTTTGAACCAATTTTGTGATTGAGCCGAATAATTAAAGAAGTGAGTGCAATGACACAGTCAGACTATAATGGATTGTTTGCGATGGAGGAACTCAACTATCAAGTGGTGTTTACTCGTAATCATTTCTCTTATACTGGTGGTGTGAAAACCATTTTCAATGATGTTGATTTTTCTGCTATGACATATTCTGAATGTTTGACGTTCTTTGAACGTTTCAAGCATGAAGAATGTAAAAAGATGTACTACCGTGAACCAGGCCTTTCCCTGATGGACAAGATTAATCCTATTTCAAATGATGTGGAATATGTCGCTTTTATTTTTGATGCTTTATGGAACAAATGATATAGTTTCTGTTTATGCGGATCATATTGGGGTTGGTGTAGATGAGTGCTTTAATGATGACGATAATGAAGATGATGAACGTGAGTCTTGTATTGATGGTGAAAATAAAGATAAGATAAATGATCTCAGGAATGTGGATGCGTAATTCAATGAGGATGTAGTGATTATGAACATGACATATATTGATCCTTTCTTAGTAAATTGTGTGTTAATGTGTAGGACGAGGAGAACAACATTGTAGATGATGATGATGAGAGATAGAAATTGAACCTAACATTCAAGTTCATTCCATTTTGAATGAGTTCTTACATTGGAAAAAACAAAAACCCATTCTTGGAATAGGATTTAAGGATCCAGGGTAACTAAAATCAATGTTGTGCAATTATATTGTGGCTAATGGATATCAGTTTTGTTTTGAAAAAAATAATAATAATAGAAAAAGACTTCTAGTGACGTGTAGTAAGGGTGCTTGCACATTTAGATTATGAGCTTTCTGGATGAGTGATGAAGAGAGTTTCCAGATCAAGTCCTTAAAAGGTGATCATAATTGTGCTAGGAACTTTAAGTTAGGATCACTAGTGACATATGCATGGATTGGGAGTCACTATACCAAAGAATTTGTACAGAAGCAGAAATTAAGTGTAAGGAAACTTAGGCTACAGATAATGACCAAGTTTGGTATCCATGTTAGCATAGGCCAATGTAGGAGAGCAAAGAAGTATGCATTGAACCTTATTGAAGGTTGTAACATCCCAATATTTAACACAAAATTTTTCATTTTTAATATAGAAACCTCGAGTGTTATAAAAACCAAGTCAATAAAATCTCAGGTATATCAAATACAATCATCCAAAATCAGAGTATCAAAAATGCAGAATCATCAAAATCTGCAAGCCAGGGTGTACAGTCAAGCCTTTGCCTTCACACGATCATCCGAAGTACCTGAAACACATTTAATCCACAACTGTAAGCGTAAAGCTTAGTGAGTCCTTCCAAAAATATCCATACAACACAACATAATAAACAACTATGGGTTATCAGCAACCTTGGAGATTATCAGCAATCCCAGTGGGCTAACTGCACACCCTGTGGATTAACATCACGTTTTAAGGGTTATCAGCAACCCTGGGTAATCTCAGCAATCCCGAAGTTATCAACAATTCAATTCAATTCACATATAACAACAATCAATAATTAAGACCCAGGTGGTCACATATATAAATACGATACAGGTAAATGTAGTGAGAAGACTCACCTCGCGGATATCAGCTAACACACAATAGCTCACACATAGAGTAGACACATACAAAGGGGTCACCTAACAACAACAAAGAAGTACCTCTCAGTCTACACCCCAAAACCCTACTTTGACCCAAAAAGTCCACCATGGTCAAAGGTCAATGCTAAAATCCACCTCAGCCGCTGATCACGTCGTGACCACCCATGGTTCATGTCGGGACAGAGTCGGGACAAAATAGTCATGGAAAACCCTTTGTCACAACGTGACACACAACCCGTCATGTCGTGAAATATGGTCTGGTCAGCTTAGAGCATTAAGTTCTTAATCCCTTAAGCCAAACCTTCAAACCTTCCAGAGGTTTTACCCAGCTCCAAGGACCATAAAAATCATAGCTTTTTGGTCATGCATGTCCAATGCATGACTTGAACACTAACTAGGTCAAGTAAGAAGAAAATGAGGCCAAAACTCATGCTTGATATCCAAAACACCACCAATCCTCAGATTTGATGACTAAGATAAACAAAGGGCCTCAATGATCCATAAAGTTGCTAACTTTTTGGATCCCATGCATGCTATCCAACTCAATCATGAAGAAAAGTGAATATCCTAGATCTAGCATGCTCAAAAGAGAAATGCAAGATCTTTAGGACTTACAAAGGTCCAAAAGCAATGCAAGGTGGCGAGGAAGGGAATTGTTTGTCAAAATGATGCACCAAGGAGTCTTCTACTTCTTCAATGAGCCAAAAATCACCAAATGAGCTCTTCAAGGTCACAAAAGAGGTTAACTTCGATTTGGACAGGAGGAAAGTGATAAAGGATGAGGGTGTGCAAACCCTAACCCCTCACTTTCTTTAAAAAGAGCACAGAATACAGGATTAGGGTAAATCTGTCTTCATGTCATAACCACCTATGCATCACGTCGTTATCCACGAAGATGAACACGCGTTTCAGCCCGATGTTCACTTTGTGAGGCTTCCTTCCTCATGTCGTGACCTACTATTTAATTTGGGGATTTATATTATTTAATTAAATCAAACATTAAAATATAAAATACCTGCATTAGATGTTACAAAGGTAGTCTTATGGAGCAGTATGCAAAATTATGGCCATATGGTCAAGAGATATTGAGGACAAAACTAGGGTCAACTATGAAACTAGAGGTGGAGAACAGTCCATATGGCAAGAAGTATTTTAGCAAATTCTTGATGGCTATTTTTTGAAAGGGATTTGTAAGGGGGGATTTCTTTGTGAAGTTAGGAGGGATGTAAATGACAGGTGTCACACCAAAAAATTCAAGCCAAATTTAAACTTTTCCAAAACACTTAAAATCATTTAACATCACATAGTTTGCTTTCAAAATACTAATTATCAGAGTTTCCCAGTATCAAGTCATAAAAATCATAACAGCAGGAGGAGCGGTACGATCATGCCTTCGCCTTCCCGCGATCACCAGAGGTACCTGAAACAACAACAGAAATTGTAAGCCCGAAAGCTTAGTGAGCTACCCCCAAAATACCAATCTCATATAACCATACTCATATCATATCAGCAAATACAGAACAACATGCATAATGAGCCTTCAGCCTGACTGGACCGCCTCGTAGGCCTTCAGTCTATCTGGACCGCTCTCCGAGCCTTCGGCACATCTGGACCGCCTCGCAGGGCCTTCAACCTATCTGGACCGCTCGCCGAGCCTTCGGTCTGACTATCATACCCTCCTGGGTCTATAGTCTATCCGGACCGCCCTGGGTATGTTGGCCTTCAACACAAAGCATGACCGCCTCAACCCAAACCCCCAATCAAACAAACATATGCACATACATATCATACGCTAGCATATATAACAGTCAACCGATCTAGCAGATCAAATAGCATAGCAACATCCTATAACCAGGATACCGACCTAACCGGTCACTAATATAGCATCATCCTATGCCCAGGATACTGACCTAACCAGGTCACTAACATATATACGGACAATCATACGTATCTAACAGATTACATAGCATAGCAACATCCTAAAACCAGGATGCAATCATAAAGGGTCGGCCTTGGTGCCGTAGACCCTGTTGATATAGTGAGGAAAACTCACCTCTCAAGTGTCGTATTGAAGTGATAAGATCAACTCTCGGATCACCAACACGAACTCCTCCACCTAAAGTTACCACAAAACCCTTTTTCCATAAATTTCCAAATGACCAAAAATACCCCAGAGGTCAACTGGTTAACCCTTCTTCAAAGTCCACGTCCATGGTCAAAGTCAACAGTCCATGTTGACCCAACTCGTCGAGTGCAGTTCACCGACTCGTCGAGTTCTTCCTGGACTCAAGAAGTCGTGAAATCCTAGGTTGACTCGTCGAGTTCATACGTGTCCAAAGGTTGGGAGAAACCCTAGCCGACTCGCCGAGTCTTCGACTGACTCGCCGAGTTCAAGGCAATCTTCAACGGACTCGCCGAGTTGTTCATCCAACTCGTAGAGTATATGGCCATCTTCATGTGGCTCGCCGAGTTGACTATGCAACTCGTCGATCCCTTTCAGACCTTTACTCATGCAGACACTTTTTAAGCCATGCCAAGGTTCCAGATTACAGATCCAAGCTTTTAAGGTATGTTTATCACGTAAAGTTGCAAACTTTACGTGCATGCAAGGCCCTAGAGGCTCTAAATGACCAATCTAAGCTTCCAATGGAGCTTTACACCTTAGGAGAGTCTCATCCTTACAAGAGCTGGAAGCTTTATGGACTTAGAAGCCCAAGAGAGTTCAGATCTGAAGTTACAACTTCAGATCTTAGCTTATACACAAGAAAAGCTTCCAAACATACTAGGAAAGCCCTAAAATTTGCCCAAAGGGATCTAGAAATGAAATGAGGTCAGGATAGCGATTTGATACCTTCCATAAGATGCCAAATAAGATAGATTTCGGATCTCACAAGCTCCTTGCTTCTAGATACTTGATCTCCAAGCTCTTTTCTCCAAAAATCCTCTTCCAAGCTTAAGAATACACAAATGGAACACACACACTCAATTAGGGTTTGAGAGGGACAAGAAGCAGTAAAGGGGAGGCTGGGGGAGGCCAATGATCCTTTAAATAGGGTGCAAAACCCCGTGATTTAGGGTTTCATCTTCCAGCTCCTACTCGTCGAGTTCCTTCTTGGACTCGACGAGTAGGTCACTAAAACGCGTGGACCAATCCGCTGCTACTCGACGAGTAGGGCAACCAACTCGTCGAGTAGCCCTTGAAATCAAGAACTTTTATATTAAAACAATACCTGAGAATCGGGGTGTTACAATTCTCCCCCACTTGAACTAGACTTCGTTCTCGAAGTCTGCCGAGGTGAACAGTTCCAGATAATGCTCCCGCATCTCGGCCTCTGGCTCCCACGTCCACTCGGACCCCCTCCGATGCTCCCACTGCACCTTCACCAAAGGTATCTCCTTGTTCCTCAGAATCTTCATCTTTTTCTCCAGTACGACCACGGGCCTCTCTACGTAATTCAGGCGCTCATCGACCTGAATATCATCCAGCGACACCACCGCCTCCTGATCCATAATGCACTTTCGCAGCTGCGAAACGTGGAAAGTGTTGTGGATCCGACTAAGCTCCTCCGGCAGCTCTAGCCATTAAGCCACCTTGCCAACCCTGGCAATGACCCTGAATGGCCCAATATATCGGGGACCCAATTTTACCCTCTTCCTGAAGCGGATCACACCCTTCCAGGGCGAGACCTTCAGGAGTACCATATCACCGACCTAAAATTCTAACTCGGATCGGCGCCGGTCGGCGTAACTCTTCTGCCGACTCTGAGCGGTCTGCAGCCGCTGCCTAATCTGCTGAATCTTCTCGGTAGTCTGCAAGACCACCTCCATCCGACCCATCACCCTATGACCAACCTCATCCCAACAAA